GGTGGATCCCTCCAAGCCCCCTCGCGAGGCTAGTCCTGTCAGCGGTCCTCGCGAGGCCGGTCACGCCACCCTTGGCGAGGACCACGGTCTTCCCATTGTCCTCCACCTCTTCCTCCTCCTCGGCCATAGCCCCGATCGCTGCGCTCGGGGCGTCGGCCGACACGTCCTTCTCGCACGGCCCTGAGCTCTTGGCATTCATTGCTGTTGTGGGTGTGGAGTTCGTGGTACACGCAGTACCGGCTGCCCTTGGAGGACTCCGGCTGGTCCCTGCCACACTTCGTGTCCGGCTCTGCTGCGAGCACAACTGCTCCTTTGCGATTCACGTCCTTGGCCTTGGATTTCTTCTCTTCAGGATCAGCGGCTAGGAGCTCGAGGAGGGAGAGGCGTCCCTCCTTAGCCCTTGCGCACTTGGTCGCCAGGTTGAACAGCTCCAGAGACATGCACGGATCTTCGTGGATCGCCAGTTCCTCCTTCATCTTGATGTCACAGACGCCATCAGAGAAGTTTGAGATGCTGGCCTCCTTAGTCACCTTGGGAATCTTGAGGCGAGCGTTGTTGAAGTGCTGGATGTACTTCTGTAGGGTCTCTTCTAGTTGCCACTTGATGCGGCGCAAGTCACTCATGACTGGGGGGCGATCGCGAGCGTCCTGGAAGTTGGCGATGAAGCAGGTGCGCATCTCGTCCCAAGAGGAGATCGTGCTGGGAGGCAGGCTCAGGAGCCAGGTGCGGGCACCGTCCTTGAGCGCCATGGGGAACCAATTCACCATGACTTTTTCGTCTCCGTTAGCCGCCTCGATGCCCAGCTTGTAGAGCTGCAGGAACTCCGCGGGGTCAGCGGTGGCGTCGTAGCGAGGAGGCAGATCCGGCTTGAACTTGTCCAGCTAGGCTACGCTATGCAACTCGATGGGGAAGGCGCGGCAGCCCGCGGTGTCCATCGGAGCCCTTTGCCGACGCGGGGCTTGATCCTGGGGGTCCCCGCACGCCGCCGCCAGGGGCAACGCGGGGTCTTGACGCGCTGGCGCAGGAGTGCGATCATGGCGCACCAGTGCAGGGAGCACGCGAGCGCCTTCTTGGGGGCGAGGGATTTCTTGGCAGCATCTTTCTTGTCGCGCGGGCGCCGGACGCGGTGGGTCTCGTCCAGGGGCCGCGCACCTTGGAGCCAGGGCGCCTTCTTAGGGAGGAGGTGGCGGAGGCACCTCCGGAGCTGCATTACCCGCGCAGGACGGAGGGCGAGGCAGCGAGAGGGACGGCGCAGGAGAGCCTCCTGCGATGCTGGCGAGCTCGGTGATGAGAGCGAGTCACTCTTCGTAGAGGTCGTTGATGGGATGGTAGTGCAGGAGCTCGCGTGCCAGGAGCAGTGTGGCGTGCGCGTCCGTGGGAGCGCAACGGGCGTGCGGCAACGAACCAGCTGGGGTCAGCGACGGGGTGGCGGTGCGGCCTTCCCGCCGCACCGAGGGATGCAGCAACGACGCCTGCTGCTCGTTCTCCGCCGAGCCGGTGGCGGCGTGGGCGGCAGGCGATGGGGAACGGCGGGGAGGCCCACCGACGGGAGTCGTCTGGGCGACGTGGGCGGCGAGAGCAGCCCGACGCTCAGCACGAGCTCGGCGAGCGTCAGCCATGGACGCGATGAACGATGGAACGCAGGATGGCGGAAGAAAGATTCCGGTGCACCCCTACCTGGCACACCAAATGTCAGATATGGGGTTCCGGCAAAACCCTTAAGGTTCAAACTCTGGGGTGCGCGCGAAGATCTTCCCCCTACCGATCCACGTCCTAACGCCTCGCTGAGAATCTAAGCTACCAGATGAACAACACAAGGGACACGGGGTTTATACTGGTTCAGCCACCATTGTGGTGTAATACCCTACTCCAGTGTGTGATGTGTGGATTGTCTCAGGGGCTGATGATGAACAGTACAGAGGAAGAACAACCTCGCGAGAGATGTTCTTGTGGTGGTGTGGCGTTCTGCTTGGGAAGGATTCGATCCTCGATTGCCCTCTCCTTTTTGCCTTGGTGGTGGCTAACCCTATATATAGAGGCCCTGGTCCTCTTCCCAAATATTGAGCGGGAAGGGCGCCAACAACGACCATTTTGAAGGGGAACATCTAGTACAACTTATCCTGGCTAAAGTTGGTCTTCGGCTGCCAAAGGTACTAGTGATGACGCCGTCTTGGGCTTCACGGTGATCTCCGTCCTGCCGCTCTGCTAGTCTTGGTCTCGTTGCACTGAAATGGTAACCTTTACTTGACGCCTCGGTACTCCACGCCTGCGCTTGCCCCCTTTGCACCAAAGAGGAAACAAGGACACTGCACAGGCTGGCGCCCGCCTGGTCTCGATCGCCATGGCTTGCGTCACGAGCACCTCACGAGGTACCCTTGCCTTGATCTCTCCGCCTCCTCGCGAGCTTACCTGGTGAGGCCGCTCCTGAGGAAGCCTTCCGTCGTCCGCTCCGCGAGGCTTGGCCCCTCGCGAGGGTCTTGAGCTTGAGCAGACGAAGATGGGCCACACTGGGCCACCACTTGAGCCACGCCGCACGCTGCAGGCAGGCAAGTCTGGGGACCCCCGTTCTCAGAACGCCGATAGGCGCTTGTGCCTGACTGAGATTTAGACAACAATGAGTGTAAATATGGTTTAAATGTGTGGAGATGCATGAAAACCACATCAGCCCCAAGCAAGTCGAAAAGTGACTGGAAAGGATGATAATTTGTGAGTATTTCTGCTTATGTCCTCCCTGAGCTAACCGACTTCTTTTGCATGGTAATACGTGTCTTATTCATATTATAAAGATCAAAGTATAAGTCATGTAATGACCAACATGATAAAACTAAAAAGATAGCAGAACGTCTCCGAGCTTGACACCAACGCCCGTCACTTGCCTCCGGCACCACCATAGCAGCCATCGAACAAAAGAATGACGAATCACCTCCTCACCCGAACTCGACGCGGCTCCATCGCTGATATACACCTTTGCGGGCCTCCAGGGTGGCTCACCAAAAGTGAAGTCATTGTCGTTGAACGAATCAGGCCGGGGCAACACCCCAGACACGCCATCGAACTCCAGATATGGCACCCCACCACAACTAAGAAGCCGAAGGAGGAAACCATATCTGCCATCCACGAACTACGAACCCAGCACACGTTTCGTCTTGCAGTTGTCGTCGATGTAGACTACAATCTGCATCCGCTCCTGGACTACCTCCCAAGCTCCGACTCGTGCTGGTAAACTTTTACGTCTTGATTGAAATTTTACATTTACCTAAGCATGTATGAATACGGATGTATATAGACGTATTTAGTGTATATAGTTGGTATTGTAATCTAAAAAAAAACTTATATTTAGGAACAGAGGGAATAGTCACTGATTCCACGCTGCTCCCACACAGACCTAATGCGGTAAACCAAACGGTAGAATCTTCAATCTTAGGATCCCAGACGACTCTCTACTAGCTACCAAATTAACAGCAGGTTGGCTGAGTTTGGCCACGGTCAAACTCCGTATTTGCAACACGAGGCACAATACACACGCGCAGACGCTTGTACTCGTAGTCGTAGATACACACTCGCCATTGCCACGCCGCGAAATTCCTGGCGATGGACGCAAGACCCCGGCCGGCCGGCGAGGATCTTTGTCACTTGCCAGTTGCCACACCCACCCGGAAGGACATGTCCACGTCAGAGTGGACACGGCCCACGTCAACGCAAGTGGTGACCCAAGTGGCGGTGTCGTCGCCACCGTGCTGGTTCCCTTCCCTGCACAAGTGTCGACATGTCGCCGTCGACGTAAAAGGAGACGTACGTAGACACCAGGCGGGGAGGAGGGAGGGTAACACGTTCACGCTTCGGCTACAGTCGGCAAGGGGGCAAGGCAACGGCTTCTTCTTATCTGCTGACTAGCGCTCGGCGTGTCGTTTCGCCCAGGGATAATATCTTGGTTTAGAAGCAGCTAAATTTGCCTTCAACCTTGGCTAACGGGAGTACGGGACCGGGATGCGACGACGGGGCTGTAGCACCTGTTTAATGTTGCATTGCATTACTTTTGGTTGTTCGAAATGGATTATGATAGTCCAATCTGAGGACGCGTGTTCTAGTAGCAATCCTTATCTAACCTTGGCCTTGGCGTACGGCGGGAACGCCACGACACAGTAGTAGTACGGGTTAAAGTGTGATTATGATTAGTGGACAAACTTAGTATATCCTTTTTATGGAGGATTAGTGTACTCAACAGCGGGTCGGCGAGACCGGAGGCACGTAACCGTCGCAAGAGTTCCATGGGCCGGCACGTGCCCGTCGACGGGTGCCGCTGGCCGTCACCAACCGTTGCTGGCGGGCGGGAGAGACCCCCGTCGCCTCGCCCGTCGGCCACCACAGACAGCCTTGCGCACCACGCGTACAGACAGCGGTGGAGGCCGTGGAGCCCACGGGCCAAGATTCACGGCTTGGCCACCACCCACACGCGAGAGGTCTCTCTCCTCCTCCCACCACCCTACCTTCCTATAGCCTGGACGATTCCACGGAAACATACGCCTCACCGCAACCGGACACGACAGGATCTTCTCGTCCACAGGGAGGGCCGAAGAATCTGATGTCACTGCTGCTCTCAGCTCTCATCAAGATTCAGTTCAGGCCACAGGTTCTGGAGCTGCACACCCGGCATGGCATTCCATCACAGGATCTTTTCATCGCAATAATACAAACAAGCTCAGGTTGCTCCTCTCCACAGATCCTGGCAAGCAGAAGCTGAAGCCGAATCAAACTTGAACGACTCTTGTCATATTATACATTGTTCTGCATGCTAGTGTACACATTTTGCAGCCAGGGCTGGTGGACTCCCCCCTTGCATCCGGGGGTGCTCCTACAGGCTACAGCGCCTCATCATGGCCGCCAAGAATTAGACTATGTAGTCTGTATGTATTTACAACGAATTGAATGGGTTGGACTCGGACATATCATCGTACAACAGCTTGTTTGTTAACATTAACATTGCGGTGAGTGCCGCGGGGTCATCGGCGTCTCGAGCCGCCGCTGCCGCTGCGGGTGGCGGCGAGGGCGAAGCCGCCGCGGTCGTACATGCGCTGGATCTCCTCCCGGTACTCGGTCAGCGACTTGTCGGGGAGGGCCGGGGTCAGCTCCACCACGTCCCCCATGCTCAGCGCCCTTCCCAGGTCGCTTATGGGCTCGTGGTTCACCTTCGGCCGCAGGTCCTCCTTCATGGGTATGCTGTAGGGGCTCCACCTCGGGCTGTTGGCCCCGACGCGGTGCATCAGGTCCATTACGGTCGAGCCTGCTGGGAATTCTTGGACGGACATCTGAAACCACAAGGATGAACAATGTCAGATAACTAGAACTAAAGATGATCGGCTTTAGCCATGTGATCAAAACAAAACATTCTGGGCTCTCACCTTGTCATGTTCGAGTAAGATGACGAACAAGGGTCCCTCGTGGTTGCATTGGCGGGTGTACGAGTAAGGGCATTCCTCCGAATGCAGGGGAAACGGGCAAGGTGGTTTGATGGCATCGCCTGCTGCTTGGGACGATGAATGTTCCTTGTTCAATGCTTCGCATTGCCATGTAAGCACCCATCTCGCCCATTCCACCATCTGAAGCACGAAGGAGTGCCTGCACGAGCCTTCCTTGTACCTCCAGTGCGCAGCGAACCCATACTCGGCCTGTAGATGCATCTCCTTTGTGCGGATCTGGACTTCGAACGTGTGATCACCGTCGCTCATGACAACCGTGTGCAATGAACGATACCTGTATAGCAAGCAAATCAGCGCAAACTCTAGCAAACGACCGAAGGTCGAATGGATGTATTGAAGTTAAGCTGCATACCCATTTAATTTCGGCCGTGATATGTAGTCCTTGAATCTTCCGGTGACTTGGGGCCAGAGTTTATGGACAACATCGAGTGCTCGGTAGCAATCTTCCTCCTTCTCAACCACGAGGCGCAGGCCATGGATATCATGGACTTCATCCATTGTCAGATTCTTCCTGATGATGTGCCAAAACCAATTAGCAAACATACAGAAAACAATGGTTCATCACCATGTTTTGTAACCATATGCGTATAATGCAAAGATGTGCGCAATACATACTTCTGCATCTTGGAGTAAACACTGTAAAGGTTCTTGTTCCTTCCAGAAAGATTGTGATATGAGATGCCTGCTTCCCTAAGACCTTCATCCAGTGTATCCACAGCAGATGTGATTAGCGCCTCATCAAAGGTTTCTGCGAATTTGGATGACAGCTCCGTGTGCTCTTCCGGGTTCAAGTGCTTGAAGCAAAGATTTTCCAGCTGGTCTTTCCAGCTAGCAATCCCCAATCGATTGGCCAAAGGCACAAAGATCTCCATGGTCTCCTTAGCAAATCTTTGTTGTTTGACCAAAGGCAAGGCTTCTAAGGTCCTCATGTTATGCACACGATCTGCTAACTTTATTAGAACAGCCCGTGCATCAGCCATTGCAAGGAGCATTGTATGCAAGCGATCTGCTTCAGCAGTTCTGCTTGCCGTGTTGTTATCACGAGCAAGCTTGCTCAAGTGGCTCAGCTTCGAAACCTGAACAGATTAGACAGAAACTATTAGCTTGCAAGATAGAACATGGCAGCGAGCTACCGAAAGTACAAAACAGTGGATTGAAACCCACACTCCATGCCATAAAAGTGAAGTTCATGCGTGTCAAATAAACAGTAGACCGAGTATATTGCAAGTACTCCTATGATCAAAGCAAAAGGAGCAGAGTAAACATATCACAACTTTTGTTGTATCATAAAAGTCACATACGTTGGGCTTCATCCAACAAATTTTATTAGCTAAATGATAAGATAATGAAGGTGAAAGGGAAATGCACATGATCATTTGGCTTAAATATAGCGAGGCATGCTGCAGGCCATCATAATCTAGATCACAATAATGGCAGTAGATCCAGCCAACAGCTTGAGGATACCAAAGAATACGAATGCACTAGCTACCAAACCCATTATCCGGATCCCTCTAAAACAATGGTCAAAATCCATGAGGAGAGGAACACGTACCCCTTCCACGAGATCAGCCACGCCGGCACCGAACATGTGGAAGATGTGATCGTAATCCACGAATGAATCATCGATGGTGTCGTGCAGAAGCCCAGCAGAGACGACCGTGGCGCTCGCTCCGATCTTGGCCAGCAGCACGGCCGTCTCCACGCAATGTTGCAGGAATGGATCGCCGCTCGCCCTCGTCTGATCATAGAAGCAAAGAACAAACCAAACGAGATTTAGCGATTAATCCAGAAATTATTGAACACGGGAAAGTGATAATCGGGCCACGGGGTTTCACCTGTCCATGGTGGGCCTTCTCGGCCTCGAAGAAGGCCTTCACGACGAGCTCCTCGTGGAAGATGCGGTGGCGAGCCTGAGCGCTGGCGAGGAGCTCCTGGGCGTAGGGCTCGCAGGCGGGGCTCGCCCCCGCGAGGTTCTCGTCGAGCTCGAACGCGAGCTCGCCGCCGCCGACCTCAGGCCGCGGGCTGGTGGCCGGGACGTAGTCGATGCAGGAGCCGAGCGCGTTGCGCACAAAGCCGGAGAAGAGGCGGTCGCGCTCGCGGCCGGTGAGCCAGGACGCCGACGACGGGCTGCGGGAGGCCGGCGAGCATGACGAGGGCCCCTGGAACACCGAGACGGGGCTGTGGTGGTGGTGGTGAAGGTCGCGCCACTTGAGCGGCGAGGGCGAGTGGGAGTAGCCGCCGCCGCCGCCGAAGCTGAGGTCGTCGGATCCGTCGTGCCAGAGCGCGCCGAGCTCGTCGTGCGTCGGGGCGCGGGGCGGCGCGGCGGCCGCGGCCGGGGAGGAGAAGAGGCAGGAGAGGCCGCCGGCGCCGGCGCCGGCGGACGGGCGGTGGGAGGCGGCCGGCGGGGGCGGCGCCGCGGTGCTGCACGGCGTCGAGCCGCGCGAGCCCAGGTCGAACTCGGAGGAGGAAGAGGAGTAGGCGGCGCCCGGCGGGGCGGTGTACAGGGAAATCGCCGACAGGGACATGGTCGCCAGAATCCGAGACGCTCTCCCCTCCGACGAGCTCGAATCGAGAAGCTCAGAGCCTCTCAACTATCCACACCAAATTGGACGGCGGCCGGGGGCGAGCGAGGATCCCGGCCGGAGACGAACCCGAATCGGCGGGGCGGAAGAGCGCGAGCGAATTTGGCGTCAGAATCTGGTCCCGGCGGGATGGAGTCGGCGCATTCGGGGGGCTCCTGAACGAACGAAGGAATCGTGAGCTCGAAGAAGCGGAGTGCTTGGGGCGGGGGGAATCGAGGGCGGATGGATTTTCGATCGGGGCGCGGGCTAATAAAGCGGATTTGGGGAGGGGAGGAGGAAGATTATCCCGTGCGGCGTGAGGAAGAAGCAAGGAGCAGGAATTGGGTTGGGGAATTGCGTCGCGTGTTTATTCTGGGCTGGGTTGGGATTCGTTGGGTTGCTTCCTCTCCTCTGCGTTCGCGGCGTGTGGATTTTAGTGCGTGAAGTGAAAGAATCCAGGGCCCTCCTTGCCAATTATAGGAAGGCGGCAGGGGTGTGAATGCCCGAACTGCCCTCCGGGGCGCAGGAATCTCGCGTTATCTACGTGCACGGTAATTCAGGCTGCACGCATTATTCTACAATTTTACCCCAACTTATTGACTAGTACTACTACTCCCTCCGTTTCAAAATAGATGACTCAATTTTGTACTAACTTTAGTATAAAGTTGGGTCATCTATTTTGGAACGGAAGGAGTAGATATTATGCAATAGGGAAAATAAGGCTCTGTGTTTTATGGTATGCAGCTCCTATTCGACCAAGTGGCACATGTTTAACAGTAACATTATTTTCCCCCTAAAAAGACAGTGACATTATTTCATTTTATCGTTGTATTAATAAACTAATGTGATTGCATTCACATATATGAGCCTTTTGCAAACATAGTTTTGTCTTTGGATGTATTTGATGCGCGGACATCATCTTTATCCGCCGTTGAATTGATTAACCGGCTAGTACACGGTTTGCAGTTGCCATTCGATCAAGCGGATAAGTTTAGCCGTGACACTATTCTTTTATTTTATCATTGATATTAAACTAGCGTGGTGACCTTCGCGATTTTAATATGTTGAAAGTGACTGGCAGTTTAATTATTGGTGTCATGGTATCTAGATATTATGCAATAGGGAAAATAAGGCTCTGTGTTTTATTTTCATATCATTACTTCATATGTGGTTAATTACATCATGGGTGAGAAATGGGAAATTATGAGGCGTCCATATTTTTTATAAAGTTTACAACTTAAAACCTTTTTGTTTCAAACCAAGCATGATCAATGAAAAAATCTTAAAATTTATAATCATTAAATCTATGATATGGACATCGAAGACATCTTATCTCTGACTTCTCTTGACAACAACTATTTTTTATGGTATTGATATTTGCATAATGGTATCCTCGTTCTATCGTGTGCAAGCACGTGCCTAGTAACCCACCATTAAGCCTGCACCTTCATGAAATCTTGTGCTTGATCACTCTTTTTTTAGAGAGAACGGCTTTATTAATCAAACAACAATTACGCGGAGTTACCCGGATACAATTCGAAACAGAATGGAAAATACTAGGACTAACATAGTACGTACATGATTTAGCTAATAAATGGGCCACTACATTACAATGTCGACGAACGTGCTTGAACTTCATGGAGGCAAAGCCACCAGTGAGCAGCTTAATGTTAGCCACCACCGAGCCGATTGAACACCAGTCGAAAGTTGAAGAGTTAAGTCTTTGGCCAAGGGAGAAGCAATCGGAAGACTAGAAGCAACTTTTGCAAAAAAGGCCCTCGGAGCTCCCGTGATTGCCCAGGCGATCTGGCGGCGATGAAGTCCAAGTGGGAGTGAATGGCGGTGGTGCCGCTGGTGCTATCTCCTACGAAGGGAGGAGCAGGTATGGGGTGAGCCTGACCGGGGGCATCTTCAATGCGAAGGAGTGGAGAGAAATCAGGACAAGATCGAGGCAAATCCTTCAGACTGCTATGGATCGAAGGAGATGTCTGGAAAGACTGAAGAAGAGGGCAGAGGAAATCTTGGGCAGATCTTTAGGTGACCTTGCATCTGATTTTGGGAGGGGAGTACCGGATCCCTCCTGCCCAAGGGAGCTGGATCGGTCGCCTGTAGTGAATAGGGATATAAATGAGAAGGAGACGAAAATAGGAAGAAAAGGGAGTCGGTGGTGATCTCTACTAGTTATAAGAGGATCTCAAAATTTCGGGAATTAAGGAAAGTTCATTTGAGGGGCGCGATTTAGGGGTTGGAGGAGGATCAGGTGTCGGTGTCAAAACCGGCAGATCTCGGGTAGGGGGGCCCAAGTTGTGCATCTAAGGATCAATGGTAACAGGGAGCCAGGGGACACAGTGTTTACTCAGGTTCGGGCCCTCTTAAGGGAGGTAAAACCATACCCATGCTTGATTATATTCGACGAGTATGAAGGTTACAAGAGTTGATCTACCTCGAGATCGTAATGGCTAACCCTAGATGTCTAGCCTATGAGGATTTCAATGATGGTGTAGAAGATAGCCCCTACGGATTAACCCTTCTAGCTTATATACACACTGGAGGGGCCTAGGGTTTGTACAAGGTCGGTTTATCAGGGAAGGAAACCTCCGGACTCTATTCTTGCCGTCCACATATTGAGAAGTCCCGTCCGGACACGGTAGATAATCTTCAGCTTGATCCCGTACGGCCCATGCAACTCGGCCCATACTCTGGGTAGGACACCTGAGGACCCCGGAATCCAGGACTCCCTCAGTAGCCCCCGAACTTGCCTTCAATGATGATGTAGTATGCGGACGCAAGTATTCGGCTTTGCAAGGTGGGTTCCCTACTATACTCCGGATTGATGATAATCCGACGTCAGTTTCCGCGTCCAGTCTTCATGGTTCCTCACCGTCGTCGCCTCGATTTCCACACGTCTGAGTGAATGCAGACGGTACGTTATCCATGTATTTTAATATTTCTGATAGGCACAGGTCGCGCCTATAAAATGAGGTGAGATCTTAAAAACGTCATCTCGCATCACACCAAGAGTAATGAGACCAAGCCACGGAAAAATTCAGACATGGTGAGTCCCCCTGGCTCCTCCTCGCGCCCTCATGGCCCTCAAGAAGGGGATTGGCAGAGTTGCTCTGTATCCCACCTCCAGCTTAGTCGGCTCCAAACGCAAGGATATCTCCCTCCCTCCGATCTAGTCTCCATACGGACAGGGTTAACTTCCATAGGCATTGATGCATTGACGGAGAATTTCCCCAATCCCAGCCGAGGGGAGAGGGTGTGATTCATCTCATTCCTCTTGAGGGGCGTGGGATTCCCAATCCACCCCTTCCTTAGGGGCCTACTGGAACAATACGGGATCCAATTGCACAACCTCACTCCAGGTTCTATTTTACATATCTCTGGTTTCGTCACCCTTTGTGAATTATTTTTGGGCTGCGAGGCTCACTTTGAACTATGGAAAAAGTTCTTCTGCCTCGTCCCCCGCCATCAGGGCGGCGGGTCTATTTTGAAGTGGGCGGCGTCGAAGTATGGCGGATAGCCGGATCCGGCTACCCCGTCGGGACTCCTAAGAAGGGATCTGCCGAATGGTCTTCAGAATGGTTCTATATCGAGGATGTACCTCATCCGGACCCTGTTCGGCGTGGACTGCTAGAATTTTCTAGCGCCCCCCTTAAAGAAGCATATAACTGGCGTCCCAAGTCCCCTTCTCAGGAAGACAACACGGAAGTGATGAGATTGGTAAACAAGGTCAAGGTATTGACCCATTCCGGACTCTCCATAGTGGAAGTTATGGCCATTGCGATACAGAGGTGCATCCAGCCACTTCAATCCAGGGTAACCCCCTTATGGAACTATAACGGGGAGGACGACACATCCGCTATAGGCAAAAGGGTCCGGATAGCCAGGCCGCATTGGCTTCTGCACTAGCCGACCTTTATAACGGAGAAGAAGAGGACTTCCTCTGTTTAAATTGCCGAGAGGCCTTCTCCATGTACAATCCCATTGAATGGGTAAGTTTTCTAACCGCTCAACACTTTTTTACTCATTGAGATGCATTGACCGAATACCCTAGTTGCTTCTTAAATAGTCATGGAGGCAAATCATCGAGAACATTAACTGCCCCGCCCCCAGCCAGAGGATCACGATCACAATGAGGACCCCGGATTCCATGAGGATCCGGACATATTTGTAGAGTTTAGAGATGGAGCCTACTATCAGGCGAGCCTTGATGGCTCGGAGGTAGCCATTGCGGCTGACTACCCCGACCTCTATCCTTTCGTGAAGGTAAGTATTCGGAAATTGTATTCTAAGGGGAGAGAGATACTTCTGTGCATCTCCTTATCCTCCGCATTGAACCATGTTTCGCAGGATCGGCGCTTAGCGACCGTACTCAAGGGCTGGCGACCAAGAGAAGGTCAGCACCTTCACGGAAGGGTCGTGCAAAACGAAAGGAAGTCGGAAGCACCACTGAACCTGCTCCATCACCGAAAAGGTATATTCCTCTTATTTAATATTCAGGCGTGAAGCCGAATTGTCATTCGCATCCTCCTTCTATCTTCACAGGATGGGTATATGGTGAACCGTGAACAAGATCCCAGCCAGCCGAGCCGCGGCTAATACAGCGCCGGAGATGCCAGCTAGGACGGGGGCGCATGCTGATGCGGCACAGTCTCGTTCGCCTCACTAAGAGCCGGATGAGATGTCCGTTACTATCTCCGAAGTCGAGAGTGCGATGAATCATCCTCACTTGAAAGAACCCATGCACGCCCTTCCTTAACGGAGCCGGAGTTTATTGCCCCTAAGCACTATAGGTGCATATATCCGGGCTGTCTAGGACGGACTCACCAGGGTTGCTCACCTGTTCTCAAAGGATATGCAGGTACAAATCTTTATGAACTTAGTGGATAGATAGTAGTAGCCCCCAATACTTAAAGTGGGTGGACAAAACTGATTTGAGGATTGTTTGATGACTGCAG